CTAGACTTGTTGAAAGCAGTAATCTCCAGACCACCCATTCCCCCCTCTTTTTGAGTATATGTGGCAACCCTATTCCCCCCCCCCCCTCCCCCCAACATAACAAAATGTGATTGATAATAGGAGGACAATAGGTTGCACAACAAAAGAAACACAGTATGGAGAAACGTTCTGATCAGAATATATTCTAGAAATGCCTGTGTTATCATTATTAATTAGACTTTTAACTGTAGATATAAAAACCTCTTTATGGAAACAAAACAAAAAATGTCCTTGGCTTTTTGTTTTATAAAATAGTTTTAGAGTCTTTTATTTTCATGTTTATAATTATACTGACAATAAATATATATATATATATATATATATATATATATATATATATATATATATATATATATATATATATAAAGCGAAACATTACAAATACGTCTAATTTATTACCCCCCCCCCCCCCCCCCACCACCACCACCAGATTTGAGACCACTATTTAAAGCAAGTTTTTTAGAATTGAATGAGTTAAAGCAACAATTTCTTGGAATAGAATGAGTTAAAGCAAGTTTTTTTAAAGAATAGAATGAGTTAAAGCAGCAGTTTCTTAGAATAGAATGAGTCAAAACAACAACTACAGAAAGATCGTGGAGGTGTATTGATGGAAGTTCTAGCACATAAAATCCGCCATCTTTCTCTGACTTCTGCTTGATGAATAAGTGTATAACTTAGTTCTGTCCATTTCTTGATGTCATTCCAGGTTCTTCTTTGTCCTCCTCTTCGACTACCCCACAATGTTCCTTGAAGTAGTCTTCTTCTTCTTCGCGTTCACCAGCTGTACACTCTGGCGGAAAGTTCTGGTTGTTCGTCCACTTCTGAACTGCAGTCCTGCTCCAGAACCTGAGTGTTGTGTGTGCATCAGTTTTACAGATCTGACTTCAAAGGAAGCTCCCCAATTAGTCGACTCTTACGACATGCTTTTGGGTAGGCAGAGGGTCTATTCTTGTTTTCCCCACGTTGGGGCCCCGGAACCCACACGGGGATACCTTGAAGTAGTGAAATGTTACCAAAACTAGAATTGCCTTGTACATTGTTGCTGTAAACTGCATTGGGTTTTTTAATTCTTTCTTTTTGCCTAGTTCAGGGTTATACCACTAAGCTTACCCAGGGGCCAGAAAGATTGAAAATGGGGGGGGGGGGGGGGGGGGGGAGCGTGCACAGACAAATCATAGGCCACCCCCGCCCGTAAAAATTGACAGTGCTCCGCGGGCCACTTGCTAGGCCTCCGCGGGCCACTTGCTAGGCCTCCGCGGGCCAGATTCTACCCGCGGGCTGCCAGTGAAATAGTCCTGGCCTAGTGTGTTAGGCTCTTTATTTCAAATCTATTTTTTTTTAAACGACACTAATATATAAGCGCCTGTTAAGTAAGCAAATACATTTAAAAAGAAACAAACACTTTCGATTTGAGTGATTGTCTTCTTCTTCTTCTTCGCGTTCACCAGCTGTAAACTCTGGCGGAAGGTTCTGGTTGCTCGTCCACTACTGAACTGCAGTCCTGCTCCAGAACCTGAGTGTTTTTTTTTTTTTCAATCTTTGATTGAACCATGTCAAAACCTGTAAGTGAAGTAAAAAAAAAAAAGTAAAGGACCCTTTTCCACGCCCTTAGGCGTATAGAACATATAGGGCTAAACCTATATTGTATAGACCAATCGGCACAAGATGGGTGATGTGGTCAGCATCACACCGGCCGCCTTTACTTCCAGGGACTGCACCCGGTACTCACTCAAGCCTGGGTTACCTGGGAGCCAAGATTCTTTTTTGAAAAAAGTCCGGCTCCGCCAGTGAGCGAACCCACGACCTTCCGGCGACTCCCAAAACACGACGACCTAATTAATTGTCAGTACTCGGCTGCCCATTTGATGACCTGATACGTTGATTGACCCCGTTCTTAAAGCTGAGTGAATTTCGTACTGGCGCATATGTTGTTAAAGCCTCTACAGTTTCACTGTAAGCTTTAACATACAACTTTAGGATACAATTACGAAAATTCCCCTTGTCTTCCACGCCATCTTCCCTTGTCATGGTACGTGTACTTCTCTAAATAAATACTAAAAACCCGGCTGGCATGGTAACTGTAGCTTTCGATTTTTATGCTGTCTGCTGTGTCCTCCTGTCTGTAATACTTTCTACGAGTGTCAATCAATACGTGATAATTTGTCATACTGTAATAAAGTTGTATATCTCTCCAGCCACTGCGATTGTTTTACCTCTGTTGCGATAAGGCGCGCGTGTCCAGCTCTCTACTCAAGGACCTAACACCCCCCGAAATCAAGGAATGGTTCAACCCTAGGTCGGCCGGGGTCAGGGAAGGCCGTGTAGTGTGTAGTTACAACACACTTTACTGCGCTTTTGTGTGCGTGTGTGTTTGTGCGGAGTGCCGGTGGAGGGAGAATGTGTCGGCTCCTGGAACAGCCATTTGGGAGCATCTGTAAAAGTAAAAGTCTTATTTTATCCTGAAACGAATTTAATATTGGGGATGGGGAGGAGGGATGTTTGGAGGGGGGAAGTTGGGAGGATGACTAGTGACATACCTCTCTTTGTGTGCGCATCTCAAAACTGGTGATTGTATCATATATGTGCGTCTTGTTGTCTGGTTACTTAAATCTGTGGGGGGGGGGGGGGGGGGGCGCAGAGAGAGTCAAACTAGAGGGTGTGAGGAGTAGGAAGAAATTAAAACTAGAGAACTAAGAGGTTTGTTAAAACTAGAAAGTAAGGAAATACTTAAACGGGAAGATAAGGTCTCTCTCTCTCCCTCTCTCTCTCTCTTTCTCTCTCTCTCTTTCTCTCTCTCTCTCTCTCTCTCTCGGTGAAGAAATAACACTGAGAGATGTTTTGTGTGTGTGTGTTGTATTTTGTTTTTTACCTGTTACAAAAACAACTGCCTTAAATACCCTAGATATAAATGAATAGAAACGCGAACACGCACAGACACGCAAGACCAAGTGTCCAAATTGTGACACAACAGGCCCAGAAGAAGGCAGTCAGTCATCAATGGCAATATTGAACAACTGTGACAAGTTACGTAAAAATTGCGGGCTAACTGATTCCAATGATAGCCATCAGTTGTGTAAGGTTCTAGTACACCACACGCGTCTTTTTATAAACGGGGAATAAACAGCTTTGTGTTCACAGTTGGTTACCAAACCATTTTATTTGTGTGTAAATACAGTGGTTGCCTGTTTGGTCATAGTAGGTTAGTTGCGTATCCTTTACAGGACGTTACATAACCAACACCAGCAGCCCCTGGCTGTTGTGTGGTTTCTCTAGGCAAATTTACGTCCAGTAGTTTGCCATTGCTTTCTGGACGGTCGACCCCCTGATACCACTGTCGAAACCAACGCAATGCGCATGGCCCACAGCTGGGATGTTTGGTCATAGAGGAAATTAAATAAATTTGATAGGTTTCTTAATATGTTATTTAATTCCCATGGGTCTTATTAATAGTTCATAATTGCCAAATAGGCAGGTTGTTTCGTTATGCCTTTTGTACTAAAATGTCAACATAATGCAACGACGTGAATTCCACAGCCTGGGTGAAACTTCCAAAGAATGGCCTAATAAGAATATACCTCTTGTGTTGGGACCTTTCCGTCTTTTCAGGGGACAAGTCTATAGTGAGACATAGGGATCACAAGCCATGGTGGTAGCGAGTCTGACTAACAAGACCTGCTTGACTAACAAGACCTGCTGTTGTTAAAAGTCTTCCATAATTAGAATATGGGATTTCAGAATCATTGTTGCCATGTCATGCTCAGATTATCAGCTCTTAACCTGTTCTCAGTCCTTTTCTCCCTTGTCCACATTTCTAAAAACCCCCCCCCCCCCCCCCCCCCCACCCTTTCTGTGGAACATGGTCCATGTCATCCTGTCTATACGAATCCTTCTCATTACCTGCTGTATCATTCATGTCTGTTGTGATAGACCCAGTCATAGAGTGCTTGTGGGGTCCTTCCTCCTATCCCCAACCCCTCCCATTTTCCACACACATAGACAGTAACCTTTTGCTACTTAGGGTATACAGCAATTGTTGGGTTTCTAGAGAATACTGTATGAGAACAGCAGGTTATGAGGTATGAGGCCTATCAAGAAACAGATGGGTGGAGCCAGTAAAAGAGACACTACGAAAACATAATATGACATTAACATAAGCCACACAACTAGCAAAAGACAAGAAACTACATCAAGTTCCTTTCTGATATTTTACAGTATAGGCAAAGAAGAAGAAGAAAATTGGACTTGTGGTTGTATTGCTATTTTTGGTTTGTCAAAATGAAGCCATGTTGGGATGCAGAAATGTAAATGGGTATGAGCCACCTCATTTCATGGCAGTGTTCTTATATTTTGGGTTTTGTTACATTTTTCCATGTAGGCTGCAGATCCTCTGGGAAAAGGAAGGGGGGGGGGGGGGGGGGGGGGGGGGGGTGTTAGACCCACTGCCGACCTCAACAGCTTGTAGTAAAGGGTGATTAATTATTAAGAGTTGGCTGAATGTGTTGGGCCAAAAGATGCAGGTATTGCAGCCTAGCTGTAAACTACAACAGAGTGTGCCTAGTGCTTTTTTTAAGGTGAACACAGAAAGGAAAAAAAGTACAACAGTGCTTGTTCATTTTCAGGTAGCCATTCTTTAGGCTTGATCGATATAGGAGCCACGGTTAATTCCCTTGTGTGTGGATAATAATTTGTCACCATACAGAATTTTGACACTTTACTTTTTATGTTACTATGAGGCTGAGTTGATGATGACCTCACTGCAGTTGACATAGTCATAATATTTATTAGTTACATACACTACAGTAGTAGTAATAGCAGTTTAACTGATTTTATTCTGTTCAACCCATTTGGGTTATGTTTGGGATATACATTTTTGTAATCTTTTCTGAAACTAGGTATTTCTATTTGTCTTGCTAATAATATTTTTGGCTATTTAATAACATGTTCTTGTTTATTTTTAACAGAATGCAGCGGCACCTAGTCCTTTAGGTCAGATACCTCCACAAGATGGCATGCCAGGCGGCCCTATGCCACCCAGTTTTTTCCCAGTAAGTAAAAGCAAGCAGTACAGGAAGTTATAGGTGTTTATTTTATGTGCACAGTCATTCCACTTTCCCTTAACTTTTATAAATTTCTAAATAAAGTAACTCAAACTTCAACCCATGACAGTTTCAACATTATTACTTACAAATAGCTATATGATAAAGTTTTTTTTTTTTAATGTTTGATGAAAAAGATTATTGGCTTTCATAAGCAGTGTCCGGGATTTAAATTCACATGAATTAGAACATTGAAATAACCAATGTTTATAATTTACTGTTACACACTGTGAGCTTCATTTGTGAGCTGTAATTTGATTGCAAGCTAATTTTTGTGGGTTTTTTATTTTTATTTTACTGATGGCAGCAACTACTTTTTTTATTGGCTTCCATCCATTGAAAGGTCATTAGTGTCTTTTTCTTGGAATTCAGGTCATTGTTCAAACTAAAACTATATCAGCATCTTAAGGCCAGGTTTCAGTCATTCAGTTCCTTATCTTGTATAGGTTATTAGTTCTGAAGGAGGTGTATTTGTGGTTCTGAATTATTTTCATTTGCTTGGTGAACTTTGAGGCTTACAGATGATCATGTAATCTGTATTGGCCAGTCCTGATGCTAAAGATGATAGTTTACTTCTGACTTTGTATGTAGATACTAGATTCTGCTTCTTCTTAGCACTCACCAGCCGTAATCTGGGACATAAAGTTCTGGTTCGTTGGACTTTGACACTTTGACCATGTTCCATGACTTGAGTTTGGCTTATCTGTATGCAGACTTTTTGGTTCCTTGCACTCTGACTTCTGAGGAAACTCCACTAATTAGTCATCTTATATGATATGCGTGTTAGGGTGTGTGCCTATCCCCCCCCCCCCCCCCACTTCCCAAATGGGGCTCTAGTAGATTTGAATAAGGTCTGTTGTCCATGACATCATATTTTTCTCTCTGTCCTGCAAAGTTAATTAGCTGTGGATAATGATTCTGCTTCCACCTGTGATGGTGGTTGGCTGAACTCTTCCATTCAGCTACCAGTTTAAGACAAGGTATCATGTTTTTCACTCTCAGCAATTTCACATTGTGAATATAACTACTCGAGTGCAAGTAGAATCTTTAGATGCTTTTGTGCGTTTATTTTATTTCATGTGTTAATTTCTAGTGCTTTGCCCCACAGTAGGAGAGATCTACAGTCGGTGAAGAACGCTGTATTATCTGGTAGTATTAGGTCTCAAAGCATGCAGATGTCATTAGGCTCTGCTCAGAAGCAAAAAAAATTTTTTTTTAATTTGGAACACCCTTTTCATGATCCTGCTATATTTGTATCTTAATTTTATGACATCACTCACTCACCTGTGAAAGATGGTTTTGTATAGGGGTTGAAATTATGTTCTTTAAATGTGTTTTTAATCTAAAGGGCATATTTATGTTTAGTTCTAATGGAACTTTCCTCACTAAAGCAGCCTGCTAGTCTATTGCAGTAGCCAGTCATTTTCATAGATGCCTGTCCTTTAGTTCTTTGATGTGTAAGTTCCATTTCTTTACATTTCCTTTTTTCTGAATTTAGTTCGGGTTCATGTTTAATCATTTGCCAGCAAAAAGTTTGTTTTGTCTTTTGTATATTTTGAATTTAAGCACATAGCTATCAGTCACATACACAAACAAAAAATAAAAAGGTAATACAGACATAATTTTTTTAGTACCACAAAATGATATCGGTATAGACAATAATAGTTTTTAGAGTGCACTTATTCCACAGTAAATGGAAAAAACATTTTCGAGTAAATTTATTTTGAGTTACTTTATGTTGTTTCAATATTTAGCTTAAATTAGAAAGCACAAAATCCAAAAATTATACTAGTTACTCAGAGAATGAGAAAGTGTGAGATAATATGTTTTTCCTTATGTCTGTATATTTTTTTAAACGCTTTGTCCTGTTATAAAAAAAACAAATGTTTAGAGTCCTTATTAATATACTAGAGTTAGTTTGACGTAAAACTGTTAACATAAGCTGTGGATTGGGATCACGACACACATTTTGTGGCTGATGCCTGGGAAAGATTAATTATTGGCTTATGTGTCAAAGGGCAGTAATTCAAAGTATTATTAAGTATTTACATTTGAAAGATAATCTCTCCCTGCGGGGAAAGTTTTTTTTTTCTTCCACAAAAAAAAAACCTTAATTGTAACATAATTGTCACAAGTTTTATTGTACTTTGCTAGTATTAAATTGCTTTTAAAATCTAAATTTAGTAATATTTTAGTAGAGAATGTGATTGCATTGTGCAGTTCGCAGTATCTTAATTTTCACTGTTTTTTCTTCAGAAACCTTTTGTTCCAAATAATTGCATAACTGTTAATGTTTAAAGCAGATATAATCTATTTCTGTCATGATAATGCATAAATACTTATCACTTTTGATGTGTTACTTTATTGGTACTTGTAGTAGTCATTTTTCCCAATCTATTGTAATTGTATGCACCTGTGTTTTAATTTTTTTTGGAGTTAGGGGTGGTGGTATAAATGATAAATTACAATTTAATGTAGCATGTTAAAGCCAGTAGAAAAATTCTGTGTGTATAGTTATTGTTAAAATAATATTAGTTTTTCTTTAATCTTTGTACACGTTGAAGTATTTTCCTCTGTAGATCTTTATTGCATTGTTTGATTTGACCTTTTCACATGCATTGTTCTGTGTTCAGTGTACCCGCCGCACTCCTACCGACTGGGCACACATAGTTTCATTCATTGATTGTTTGGTGCTTGTTGACTGTTTGGTATACATCCTTGTGCGTGTGTGTTTGCAGCCTCCCGCTTCCCAGCCATCCCCTCACACGCCACCTCACAACCCTATGATGAGTCAGAGTCAGGTGAGTTGGGCAGGATCCCCCGGTTTTCTGGCAGAGAGGCCTGATCCCGCTCTTGCTCATTCTCATCGTTGTATACTTTGTGTTAATGCTATTGGTGTCACCATGTTGTTTTTGTGGTAGTTGCATCATTTTGTAATTTAAGCTTGGAGAAAAAAATAATACACTGGTACCTGCATGTGAGTTATTCAAGACCTGAGGTCATGCTTGACAGCTATTTGGCCCTAGAATACAGGGCAAAATCTAGGATGCAAGAACTTTTGGCGTTACTGGACTGACCTCGATAACTTTTAAATGAATTGGCTCACATTAACATTGCCGAAGAAGGACTTAAGCCAGTTTGCAAGGCACATAATAATGATGATGGACTGTAGCATCGAGCTCGGAAGTAACCCCCTTTTCTACTGCCAGCAAAACGAAGAAAACAGTGCCACACATTGTCCAAATTAGCAAAACGAAAAACATCATTTTGTTTTTGAGTTTTGGAGATGTGGGTAAATTTAAAATTATTTATGTTAATGTTAATGAGAAAAATAGTTCCAGGATAACAGTTATTCACCAGTATGAGCTCAATCGTGGAACGGATTAAATAATAAATGGTCTTCAGTATGTCTCCTGAGTCCATTATGAGTTCCTATGGTCATCGCTTTCCTAGCCAACAAATCTGCTTGTTCATTCCCTTACACTCCTGCATATCTTCATTTGGAGTATGGGTTTTTAACAAGCCTATGCAAACCTGTCAATTTCTTCATGAATGTTTGACTCTTGCAGCTTCGGATTTCTATCGGAAGACATACTCAGTTTCACACCAACTCTCCTTTGCTGCCTGTTAAGACATGCATGATGTGCCAGTGTTAGTATACTATGCTTCCCATATAGGTCCCAGTAACACACCATGTGTTTCCTTTCTTTAGCTTTTACATAAATGTGCATCAGCTCATATGTAAATGTGCATCAGCTCATACGTAAATGTGCATCAGCTCATATGTAAATGTGCATCCGCTCATGTGTAAATGTACATCAGCTCATGCTTAAATGTACATCAGCTCATATGTAAATGTCCCAAGCTCATACATGTATGTGCATCAGCTCATGTGTAAATGTACATCAGCTCATACATAAATGTACATCAGCTCATATGTAAATGTCCCAAGCTCATACATGTATGTGCATCAGCTCATGTGTAAATGTACATCAGCTCATACATAAATGTGCATCAGCTCATATGTAAATGTGCATCAGCTCATGTGTAAATGTACATCAGCTCATACATAAATGTGCATCAGCTCATATGTAAATGTCCCAAGCTCATACATATATGTGCATCAGCTCATGTGTAAATGTGCATCAGCTCATACGTAAATGTGCATCAGCTCATACGTAAATGTGCATGAGCTCATATATAAATGTGCATCAGCTCATATGTAAATAGCATCAGCTCATGCATAAATGTGCATCAGATCATATGTAGATAGCATCAGCTCATACATAAATGTGCATCAGCTCATACATAAATTTGCATCAGATCATATGTAAATGTGCATCAGATCATACATAAATGTGCATCAGCTCATGTGTAAATGTGCATCGGCTCATACATAAATGTGCATCAGCTCATACATAAGTGTGCATCAGCTCATACATAAATGTGCATCAGCTCATACATAAGTGTGCATCAGCTCATACATAAATGTGCATCAGCTCATACATAAATGTGCATCAGCTCATACATAATGTGCATCAGCTCATACATAATGTGCATCAGCTCATGTGAAAATGTGCATCAGTTCATATGTAAATTTGCATCAGCTCGTACATAACTGTACATCAGATCATATATAAATGTTCACCAGTGATGTAAATGTGCATCAGACCTGCCCTCAAGCTTATACTCCATTGTTGAGTCTTCACTCTGTCATCTATTTTTCATGGCACTCACTGTTTTTACTAATGTATGTACAGTGTCAGCGCGGTATACGTTCGTATAAGTTCAACTTGTTGTACAGCTGCTTAGATGCAAAATTATTTTACTTCCTAGAAGTTTACCTGGTGTCCATTTAAGGGTTCAAATTAAAAAAAAAAAAAATGTTAAAATGCCTAGAAACATCTCACTACTTTCATTCTCTTGCATGATTTTGTGCTTGTTAATTCTCTAAACCTGCTTTGTATGACATACAAAACTTGTAACTTATAAATAGAAAGACATGGAATTAAATCCTTGACAAACCAAATATTGTTTGCAAGAGTTTAGAATGTCAGTACTGATTTTTCCTGTTCTCAGAGAATTAAAAGATACATTTTTGAGTTGGGAATGTGTGGGCAGATATTACGCACGTCAGTTAAAAGAATTAATGGTTAGAAACATTGGGGAGATTTCTTTTTCTGTTCTGCATTCATGTGGAGATTTCTTTTTCTGCTCTGCGTTCATGTTTATCTTAATAGCAGTGATTTAGTGTGGCTTGTTCATTGTTGTGTCATTTTTAATAATAACAGAGTTAGTAACTAATATACAATAACTACTATGTACTAGATTATCTATAACTTAACCATAAAACAATAAGCGGTTTAGATGAATGGCCAGTCTTCAGTATTGCGATATAAACTGAAAATATGTACATGTCTTTTTTATGCTACAATTAAAGATTTAAAAGTCAGGAGATGTGAACCAGCGTTATTGCACACGGTTATAAACCATTAGTGCTCTGCCACCAGTACGGACAGCTGATAAGAAACTGTGTCGCCGTCCGCACGCAACTCCGTAGCTACAGCGACGTTCCTCCATTTACCACAGAACCGCCCAGTTTCGAACACCGGCCGTGGGCTGCAGCGAGTCGCCGCTGGTTTTGAAAGCGAGTCTCCTATCGGCTGCACTTACACGGCCTCTAATTAATTTTTAAATAATTAAATTTTTTAAATAAATTGTAATGTATCACACACTAATGCAGTTCATATTGTAGGCTTCTTAAGTGTCCAAATAATGGAATACAGGAGAAAGGTATAATACACATCAGAAAAATGAAATGTGGAATTTTGTTAATACAATCATAAACAATTCAGTACAATAAACAACCATTTCTTCTTGTCACATTAAAATACGGTGGCGTCCGTGGCTTAGACTTTGCAAGTCCGACTCGTAATTCCAACGTCCTGCAATCAAAACCAACTGCAGCCATTTAATGACCTGAAATATTTATTTTACTTTTTATCTAACTTTTGAGCCACGTATATTAGCACTAAAAAGCTCGATTTGGGCCCAGGAGTGTCAGCCTGGTTATCAACGACAACAAAAACATGCATATGCTTAGTTCATCCCTCACTGTTAATTAAGAGGTTTATTACTTACTACCTGTGTCATAGTCCTTGTCATGAAGAAAGTGCAAGCACTAGATTAATAACATTTAGTAACACAACATTACAAAACAATAACAATAAAAGAACGTCAAAGAACACATTGAAATGGTTTGCACACTCGGAGAGACTGTTTTATGATACCATATCATACATACACAGCATAATATACCAAGAGAAAAGGCAGGGCCCAAGTTAGAACAGGAAGGAAAGATTACGTCAGAGAAATTCTGCAACAGTATCATATCTCTGATCGAGGCTGCCAGAAGCAACAAATCTAGAACCCAAGTTAGAACAGGATAGAAAGATTATATCAGAGAAATTCTGCAACAGTATCATGTCTCTGATTGAGGCTGCCAGAAGCAACAAATCTAGAACCCAAGTTAGAACAGGATGGAAAGATTACATCAGAGAAATTCTGCAACAGTATCATGTCTCTGATCGAGGCTGCCAGAAGCAACAAATCTAGAACCAAGTTAGAACAGGATGGAAAGATTACATCAGAGAAATTCTGCAACAGTATCATGTCTCTGATTGAGGCTGCTAGAAGCAACAAATCTAGAACCCTCTTTCTCCCTCGACAGAGAGGAAGTGAAGAAGAAGGGCACACCCAGAGGAAATGTTTGTTAAAAGTCATATTTCTTTATCTAGGAAGTATGTAATGATATGGTTCATGGAACAGTTCATAGTCAGTTGGTTTATATGTCAGTGATAGTATTTTTTATAACTAAAATGTTACCTTCTTATCTTTTCAGCCATTTATGTCACATAGGTATCCAGGTGGTCCCAGAATGCCTGTAAGGATGCCTAGTCAAGTAGATTTCAACACAGGGGTAAGTTTGTTAGATTTTAACAGGGGTAAGTTTGTTAGATTTTAACACAAGGGTAAGTTTGTTAGGCGGCGTCCGTGGCTAAGGCGTTGCGAGTCTGACTCGTAATCCAACGTATTGCGATCGAAACCCGCTGCGGGGATTTTTATCGTTGTATGAGACGTCGCAGGTCAGCCCAGCCTCAAATGGGTACCAGCATAGGCTGTCCTAGGAAAGTAAAGACGGCTGGCGTAATGCTGACCACATTGCCCACTAGTGCCAATTGGTCTGTGAAAATATGGGCGCTCTTCCCATTTGCCCGATGCGCCTAAGGGCGTGTAAAGGGATCTTTACTTTTTTTTTACTTTTTAAGTTTGTTAGATTTTAACACAAGGGTAAGTTTGTTCAATTTTAACCCTAAAGAGATCACTTGCCTTCATACTTCCAAAAACAAAAACAAATCACCTTTGGTGTGCAAGGAAATGAGCAAGCCGATTGACTTGCAGGTAAAGCTACTGTGGTGGGCGGACGAGCCAGGGACCATGCTGATATTCTGAATGCTCTACGAGAAGTAAGACTTTTGCGAGAACTAATTGATGACTGTGAATCTGCAACAAGGACCAGACTGCAAGAACAACATGTTAGAAAGGGTGTGGCCAGAAAAGAGCACTATGCAGGAAGCCAAAGAAGAAGAATAAACCAACACAGAACTGGTGTCGTGAGCCACTACATGCTACAGGATTTACTAAGGCAGGGATCCGAGCACTTATGGACTGAATGGTTCGATGTGCAATGAGGATAACCTGTCGACTAAGGACTCTAAATAAAATAACAAATTCATCTTTTTAGTGACTTGAGAGACTCGTTAGCAAACTTGCGCGGCTGCTCTATAGTCATAGGTTTCAATCCCATGGATTTAAGAAAAAAACTGACCAAGATGATATTTTTCTTCTTCTCTTCATACGAGGTTTTTAGGGTAGAGTTTCAGAGTATTATTTTTCAGAAATTTGTTGAAAAAGGTCGTATTTAAAGATTTGTATGGGTTGAAGAGGTTAGGTTTACACAGGGGTAAGTAATTTATTTGATATTTAGCACCACAAGGAGAGTCGCAGGTGGCTCAGTGGCTAGCCTGCTTGCCAGATGGTCATATGTTCACATCCCCCACAAGGCTGGAACTTGTTTAAAATGGATCTGGGCTCCTACATTGACACAGCCTAAATTTGGGAGCAAGATATGTTATGGGAAATTCAAGATGAGTGGCACGATATTGACCACAATCACCCATCAAATGCTAGTGGGTTTGTATAAAAATGTTGGGATATCACCATATACCTGGTTCACCTCAAATCACAAAAGAATTATTTTTTCTTTAAAACAGCAGATTTATAGTGGACAGTTTCTCTAGTGAGTTCCACAGCTCCATTGGGAGGGGGAGGGGGGCAAAATAGACCCATGCCACTTAAAAAGCATGTGATAAGAGTTGGCTACTTAGGGGTATTTTCTTCAAACTCAAGTGTGTCTACCTGTGAGGTGAGGAACTAACACATACAAATAAGCTAGATCTGTAAAAATAGCAATGCATGCAATACTCAGGTTCTGAAACAAGACCACAAAGTCCAGAAGTGGACGAACAACCAGAGCTTTCTGCTGGAGTTAACTGCTGGTAAACGAGAAGAAGGATGCACAGTTGTCGGAACAGGCAGTAGATATATACTGGTTGTTTGTACATGCAAGTGTCCTTGGTATTGTGCCGGCTAAAAATTCGTGAATATAGAACACTGAGTAGAATATTACTATCCAACGTAAGTTGTAGGTATTCTCATAGTTCTTTCCTCTTCCTGTCCTTTAACCTCAGCCACCTATTGTTAGTACCTCCTTCTTTTGCCACCTGCTGTAATTCTGTTGGCTTTCGTAATACAGTCTATCTGCCTCAAATTTTCCCATTTTAGATCTCTCTCTCTCTCTATTTCAGAAGGCAGCTTCCCCCCCCCCCCTTTTCCCCACCACCACCAAACACCTACCTGAGGTAAATGGTGGGAGAAACGAAGAAGAAGTTATGTTTCACCAACTCTCTTGTCATTCCCAGTTTCTTCAAAACCTCTGTATCTGATTGTTTTGTGTTCATCATACTCACCTCCTGATTCAGTGAAATTTTTTGTTTCCTTCTGGCGCTTTGCATTGTTTATTCTCTCCAAACATTTGATCTGTTCTTTTTTATCCAGGAACCAGTTAATTACTTTTAAACAAAAATATTTACCAGTGTTCTTATCCATATTAAGTAGCGGCTGGCCAAGTAGTTAAAATGCTCATCTCATGGAGGAGACCTAGGTTTGATTCCTTAGCAAGGTGATGGTGTTTTTCTTTCTGTCAGAGGCAGAAATAAACATCCTAACCTGCACAGTTTATGGTGGCTGCACTAGCGATGTGTCTCTTAATCCTCATCCTCAAGACTGATGATTAAGCCACCCTTAAAAGGTAGTATTAGAGGCAAAAAAAGACAGTTTCTATCCACATACATGATGGTAGGGATTGACATGATAAAGGCCTAACTTAATTTCATTGTTTTTATTTTTTTTATTGTACTTTTCAGCCTCCTGGGCCAGGTGGTGGGCAGTTGCCTATGCCTAATAGTATGGATCCAAGGCCAGGTAAGTCTTTCTGTGGATATTTGAAAACTATTGTTATAACACTGAGGAGCCATGGTGGTGTTGAGGCTACATGCTCCACCTCCTGCCCAAAGGGCTTGAGTTTGAAACCAAATTGAGTCTGATTTATTTTGTTTTAAAATGGCCTAGGCTACCAGATGGGCCCAACTTAAAATGGGAACTAGGTAAAATCCTTAGAACTAAAGGCGGCCGGCATGGCATTGACCACATCACCCATTGAGGGTCGGTTGGTCTATCAAAATATTAATCTAGCCCAATGTGCTATGGCCTGAAAAGTGTCCTTAACTTTACTGATTTACTTTGTGAGACTGATTACCGCTGATTGTTTTCTAGATTTATGTGTCTATCCTTTGGGAAAGGGGGCAGATTGAGACAAATACTATCAGCCTTACTGTTGAGTTCATTCAAGAACCAACATCACAGCACCCTAGAAATTCGTGTATGCACTCCGTCCTCATCTTCAGCAGCCAGTGAATTGTGTCATTTCTGATTGTATGAGGAGCAATTTGATTATATGTCCATGATGCATTTTCCTCTGTGTGTAGAGTGTTAACCAGATCCCCGGGTTCTTCCGTTGAACCATTCTCTCCATTTCGTAGTGATCTAAGTGCTACCGCATTGCTCACGTGCTCCAGAAGGGCTGAGACAACCTTGTCCCCCTTACTCTGTTTTTCTAAATATTTGTGATCTTTCTAGGGGTACTTTAAGTTTTAATTCCTTTGTAAAAAGGTCCCTTTTCCAGGCCTTTAGGCGTATTGGGAATATAGGGCTAGACCTATATTTTCATAGACCAGTAGGCACTTGTTGGGTGATGGGATCAGCATCATGCCGGCCGCCTGTACTTCCCAGGACTGCACCTGGTACCCACCCAAGACTGGGTCGGCCTGGGAGTCAAGGTCATTTGTTTATTTGTTTGTTCCATAAGAGTTTTGCATGCACATTCTTTTTACAAATCTGGCTTATTTATATGCAGACTGTTGGTTCCTCACCACTGAGGCAGATGCACTCCAACTTTGATGTAAACTCCCTGGTTAGTCGACTTTTACGATAGGCTTGTTAGATGGGGTTTTGGATCTATTCCCCCCCCCCCCCCCCCCCTCCCATCCCCAAAAGTCTCCAGAACCCACACTGGCTGTCTCCCATTTTAAGTTATGTTTGTCATTAAAAAGTGACTTGTCTTTTTTTAATTGAATAAACTGATTCTAATTTGAACAGGTCACCCAGGAATGAGTCCCATGCAGAGAATCAACCATCCAGGTGCAAGAATGCCAGTTCCAATGAATCCTGTGAGTGATCTTATTCTGCACTTTTCTGCTGGTTTCTTTAATCATATTAAAGTTGACACTTTAAGATGCACAAAGCAAAAGAAATGTGTGAATATAGTTTTCCTTTTAAAAAAATTATTTTATTTTGATAGAGAAATATGCACTTGCATTGTATAATAAAAATGAAAATTTTAAAAAGATTCTCAGAATACCATTGACCAAAAATATAAAAAGCACCGACATCCTAAAGGATCTGAACACCAAGGAAGATTGGCTTGTAAACAGCATCTCTTTTCGGAAACTGAAATACTTTCACCACAGTGGGTAAGAAAGAATAATAGTGTAAGGCATGGTGCCAGTAAAGAAGGGCAGGGGCTGACCAGCAGGAAAATTTGCACAGGATATGATACGCATGGGTAGAGAAGTGTGAGATCTGGTGAGAGACCAAGTTTCTTTCAGGCAGGCTGTGATGGGAGTGACGTTCTGCAAAGTATTTGCTACATGATGCCTTGGGAAACAAACTCAGCATGCCTTGAGTTGGCTAAACCAAAGGTTGTGTGTGAGGGAGAATGTGACAGTGATTCCTCTTGCCTATATTTCTCAGTCATGTATGTGTTCATTCTTTTGCCTTTTTTCCCTATCAGTTGAGCATAGGTCTTAAATCAGACTCCCACTAAGACCTCCTGGTGTCGTTTCATCCGTGTCCTGTTCCTATATTATTCATCCTTATGTCTAGCTACCTTTTCCTTGTGTATTTAGGTCTCCCTCTGTCTCTCTGAAAGCACTCCACAGAAGGGCTGTTCGTTTAAAAGCTAATAGTCAGGGAAGTGACTGTTCACACCTATATAAAGAACTTATGTTATTACCGCTCCAGGAACGCCTACTATACAATAAAGCTAAACTTATTCATAAAATCATATCTAAAAATGCTCCATGTTACCTTTGGCCATTATTTGAATACAATGGAAGACATAGCAAACGTCTTAACATATTGCATATCTCTAAACCTAGAATAGACCTATATAAAACAAGCTTAGCGTACTCTGCAGCTCAGCTGTGGAATAATCTTCCACCGGTAATAAAAAATATCAATAACCCCTATAGAAACAATTGGAAACTATTTGAATATTATCTCACTACAGACTATATGCCCCCTTAAAAGATTATATTATGTTAAGGCTATGATGTATTTCCATGCGATGTCTTGATAATTTGTTTTCCCTCTAAACTAAAGGTTATTATTATTGTTTAAAACTGAAGATGCCAGTCGAATGCATTCCAATGTTTGTAACTAATATTTAATTGGTTTTGATGATGTTTATATTATGCAACCTGTCAGACTTACATCATTTTTGGCATAGGCTTATTAGTATACTCTTTAAAACGTTCAAGTAATGTCAGTATAAATTAGAACACATTCCAGCATGTGTAATTAAGACTTAGATATTGTACACTTTTTTCCCCTTTCTTTTTTTTTTCCTTTTCTATATTTCTTAAATTTTTAAATTTTGCATTCCTCTTTTTATTATTATTATTATTATTATTATTATTAATATTATTGTTATTATTATTAACTATGAAATGGGGTACAAATGAAACATTGTATGAAAGGAGCGGAGTGGAAGGGCAGAATGTTAGACATGCCTGCGTGCCCAATTCTTAACCCTTTGAGAATAAAGTTTGTTCGTTCTCTTGCCCTGTGGGTTCCAGTGAAAGAACATTCTAGTTAAGTCAGATGTCTGTGTGTGTCTATTCCAGTGCTTCTAGTTATACTTTCAGGCTACCTCACCAATTATCCTTTTTTTAGTGCCAGAGAGAAACGAGAGCCTGTTGCTTGATGTAGATAAGAATTTGATAGCAGTATCATGTGCATTGTTTAATTATGACGTAATACTTTTGGAATTAAATTTATGCATGTACATTTAGCATTTTTTTTTGCAGAACACTGCTCACATTATAATTTGCTGGAAGGACTCGATCTTTTGCCAGTTTACCTGTCACATTCACTTTAATTCCAAAGTACCTGTAACGTCCCTTGTCTGTTTTATGTTGGATGGTCCCTATCTCTTGTTCTAGAATCCATAATTGTTCTTTGTAAGCCACTGCAATGTTCAGCTTGGTCAGAGTATTCCAGTTTCTGTGGCGTGATGATGTTTGTGAGTCAGTTTTATTTTGAAGTTCAGAATATATACGCACACATGGAACATAAGAATCTTATGTTTATAATGCAATGAAAGTCTGCCCTAAAGTTTCCAATACATGCAAGTCATAATTAATAACAATGATGCAACTCCTGGATCGTTATCTTTTTATGGTCTTTACAGTCCACACAGTGATACTGGAGCTGCAGGCTCGCCTGCCATCCCAAAGATCATTGGTTCAAATCTGCATTAAGACAGATTTCTCCAAAATTGACCTTGACTGCCAGGCTGACCTGGCCTAAAATGGGTACCAGGTAATGTCCTGGGAAGTAAAGCTGGCCAGCATAATGCTGACCACATCACCAAGAGAGCTGACCGTTAAGAAAGCAGGGGAAAACTGCTGAAAGTAAATTTTGTCTAGAAAAACCACAACAGCCAAACAATGCTAGGGTTGGCTTTGCAACGTCCTGTAAAGGATATGCAGCTAACATTTTGTTACGGGATAGTGTGTTTGTTCTTACCCCCCTCCCAAAATAGGATCCTGGCACACACACAAGGGGGCACGTCACCTACTGATAATATCTACTTGGTAGATAAATATATTTGCTAAGTGGAAAATCAGTGGTTGGAAGGACTGAATGTAAAAATATATACCAGCGTGTCCAATTTGTGACTTTTTAAAGTTCATTTGTGCAACTGAACAACTCTGTTCTTATCAATACACTTGTATTTATTATTTTCATACCTCCCAGTTTTAAGTAATCTGCTTGTGATATTTCTAAATGTTTGTGCAGTGAAATACTCTTGAATGCTTTGTGTGTGTGTGTGTGTGTGCGTGCATGCGTGCGCGCGTGTGCACATAATGCTCTTTAATTAATTCAGGGTTGGTGAGTGTGAGAATTTTTTTTTTTTTAACCCTCTGAAACATTTTACTAGGCAGCAAAATTATGATTAAATCATGAAAAAAGGTTGATCTTCCCTGGCAGATGTATGAATCCTTACAGAGTTACAGAGGTCCTCCACCACCAAACTCAGGCATGGGACCGGGGCCTGGACCTGGAGGAATGCCACCCTTATCCATGTAAATATTGTTTCTCGGCTCTTTCCTAATATCCTACCTCAGATGACGTCACAGGACAGTCATCCATTTTAGAGTGTGAAGACTGGGTTTCCCGGCATTCTGATGCTTTTAACGACCCCAAAACATCTTGAACTGGCGCTAACTCCAGCCCACCTACGTCCCCCGAGAAAGTGCAGCCTAGGTCCATTGACTGCACGCAGCCTATCTACCACCTTCTGAAATATTAGACTGTTCCGTGACTTGTGGATTTTCCCTGTTTAGGGTAGGATATTAAGAAAGCACCTGTTTCTCGTGTATTAATCTTTCTTTCTTTCTCATTATTATTTGTTAAATACAGTAAAGCTTCAGTAACGTAAATTCTAAAGGACCAAAACAATTAAGAATCTGTTTTAAAAATATTAGTTTTCGTGTGGGTTCCGGGACCACATTGTGGGAAATATTAGAATAGACTCAATGCCACCCCAACAAGCATGTCGTAAAGTTGACTAATTGGATGCTTCCTTCGAAGTTGGAGTGGCTCTGCCTGAGAGGCAAACATGTAAAACATGTGCACGCAACACTCAGATTCTGGAACAAGACTAATGTCCGGAGGTGGACTAACATCCTGATTTTTCCACTGGATGTTCATCTCAACTCTTTGAGTCCCAAGGAATGCATCATAGTTCATAGATTCCTACCTAGAGGCCCAATAAACGCATAATGCGTCTCTCTTGACTACCCCTTGGGCCTGTGATGCTAAACCCCCTGGGACTCAAAGAGTTAAGCAAGTTTATGTTGAGGTTTTACTGTATTTAAAATATAAAGGGTATATTGTAATTTTATTATTGATGGCAACTAACAATGTGGTGCCAGTTTTTCTGGGTAGGCTACCAGTTCACATAGAAGACGGTAACCAGTTGACCTTTTCAAGAAAAGAAAAATGTTTGTTGAAGAAGACAGACTTGTGCTTGCTGGTATGACACGTGATAGTGAACAGTGACCAGAAAATCCTTGTAAAAACAATCATTTGACAGAGGTCCCTAATAAATGTTATATTTTTTATTTTGTTTTTTAGGTTTTTAAACCCCCAAAAAATCTGAAATTTCAGGTGACTTATACAATAACTTTAGAAATCTAAGGCTGCTGGCAAATTATGTTATTAGAATGACTTGACAAAAGCCGTTTTGTAAAGTATATTCATATCTAGGCCTCCTAAACACTGCGCAGTCACAATGCAAAGCCAGTAACATTAACTAGGTTTCTTAAAGACGAGTCACTGCAGACATACATGTTGAGCAGCATTTGAGGGAATGAGTCACAGGTGGTTATGTCAGGTTCACGGCTTCTTTGGACAATAGAATTAGATAATCTGGCATCCAGTATAAGTAGTCAAATAGTCTGGCAGTTGTTACACAGGCATATTTGAAGGCTTCTATTAACATTGACAATGATCAGGCTTTGGTCACATATGACTGAGCTATCGTGTTAATGCAGAATGTTGGGTGGCGTATACCAAACCTGATATGTCATATGTGTCAATGGCTTCGGGCGGAGGAGCCCATTGGGGAAGATACTAGCCTCATCCCATGAAAAGGAAATGCAACCTGAAAATCATATGACACGTCGGAACAGGCCTTAGCCTTGGCTGGCAGCTGGTCTAGGAGGAAAGCTCCGGCAGGCAGACAGATAGAGGATTGCTCTTCTGATTCGGCAGATTTTGCAGCCTGTTTTATTCCAATTGTACTGGTGTTACCTTTCCTTTGGAGTAAACAAGGCAGGTGGAGAGAGGGATCATGATGCATGGGCAACATATGATCTCTCCAGTACTGCCCAGGCTTTGTGTTTTGGAGAGGATTAACTTTTTTAAACACTGGCAGGACTTGCTGTCACACTCACCATCGCCATGGGCTGTGAGTCACATGTCTCCTCATAGTGCAATGTAACACCGTCATCTGGAAAGGTGCCATTCAGTCAGTCAACAGTGACTCACATATTACACAAATAGCTAAAACCTAACTTTTGTTTCTGTTATATGCAGTATTTAAAAACAACGTATTTTCATATTTGTAAACTGTTGCATGTTTTAGGCCTGGAGGACCAGGAGCACAAGGCAGATGGCCACCCACATCATCATCTGTAAGTCTGTAACAAGTTTCTTTCTCTGCCTGTAAGTCTGTAAAAAGTTTCTTTCTCTGCCTGTGTCTGTAACAAGTTTCTTTCTCTGCCTGTAAGTCTGTAACAAGTTTTCTTTCTCTGCCTGTGAGTCTGTAATAAGTTTCTTTCTCTGCCTGTGAGTCTGTAACAAGTTTCTTTCTCTGCCTGTAAGTCTGTAACAAGTTTATTTCTCTGCCTGTAAGTCTGTAACAAGTTTCTTTCTCTGCCTGTGAGTCTGTAACAAGTTTCTTTCTCTGCCTGTGAGTCTAACAAGTTTCTTTCTCTGTCTGTGAGTCTGTAACAAGTTTCTTTCTCTGCCTGCTGTACAGTCGAAAGTATTAAGTGATGTATTGATTTGTGTATGTCTTAGTGAATGTATAGTGTACAGAGCCTGCTGGTAAACGCAAGGCAGGGCACTTAAGACCCCTTGGTCATCCTTCACCTAGGTCCATTTTCAGTCGTCTCGACATTGTCCTGTCATTGGATCAAGATGGACACAGGCGAAAGAGTTGTAACAAAAACAATTCATCCCTGTAACAAAGGACTGATATTCACAGAGTTGTAAATCCTAGAGAATTTAGTAAACAAAGAAGCAAATGTTTTGAAGCCACTGAATTAGGGGAAACAAAAATACTAACTGAAAAGATTTTATTAGAGGAAGGTATTGGGTGAAGACAGCACCTGCAAGCTAGAGAATTGGCTCATAAACAACATCCTGTGACGAAAGCTGAGGTTTTCTGACCAGGTTGAGCATCATGCGGGTCTGGAGAGAACAGTGATGGAGGATGCTGTTTCCCAAAAACGAGGCAGAGGCCGACCTCTGCGAATGTGGACACAAGACATTGAATATGTGTTGGCTATGTAAACAAATAGGGCAGGAGAATTGGCTAGAGAAAGAGAGACTTTGAGGCGTGCAATGAAAAGAGTGATGTTCTGTAGAGGACTAGATACTTATCATCAAGGCACAGAGCGCTTGAATTCATTCATTCTGCTGAAGGAACCAGTTGTCCATGCAAGACACCTGATGATAGTAGTTATTATCTGTTTATTTTGTTCATATACTGAATTAAAAAATTGTTTATGAATGTTTATTTTTTTTTAAAGTATATTACATTTGCAATAAATATATTTGTAATTATCACCATTAAGTGTTTGTCATGTTTACCTTCTTAATCATTTCAGATGAATTGTGCATCACCAGCAAATTATAATGTAAGTAACTGTTATGTATATATATTTATATTACATTCGTTTTTGTGTTGTGTTTTTGTTTTTAACTTTCATGTCATTATCAGTTTCCACTTTTGCTGTTAGACATCATGGAAAGTTTTCTTTGCATTGCTCAATGTGTAGCACTGGATACTGCCATTCTGTGTCGGTGTAGAAAGTCTTGAGTGTTATCAGTCCATAGTCTGTCTTCTCCTTGGATGCTCTCGAGTTTTCATGCTGTATCTTTCCAGATGTAGCATCTGTGCTAGTAGTTGTGGCTGCTTTCTAACAAGATGGCCAAACCATTTGATCTTCTGTCTCTTTTTGAATTTGGGGTAGGTGCTGTTCCAACAGTCTGACATTTACTCCTGATGGATAGGTTGGTGACTTTCCTCGGGCATCAATTACGTGTGTGTGTTATTTTACAAGGTTAGCCTTTGACCTTTAACCAAGTTTGGCATTCTCTTTTATTTCTTAATGTTAAAAATATCTTTGCAGGATAAGTGGGTCTATTCTGTTTTCTCCCCAAAATAGGACCCTGGAACCCACATGAGGAAATTAAGGTATCTCATTCGGGGGGGGGGGGGCTAAGTGGCCTCGAGACATGCCTTGAGTGCTGCAGAAGCTGTGAGTTTGGAATACAATTTTTACAAGGTAGTGGGTGAGACGACGTATAGAGGAAATAACTGTGATGATATATTTGTCACAGCATTACAATCTTGCTCTGGCGATCATACCATGCCCCTCGCTTTGGAAAATCACCTCATCCACAGCCTAGGTGTTCTTAGTCCAAGTGGCATCAATATCCAACATACCTTCATGTAAACAGTTTTACTGTTTCACATTTTAAATTTTAATTACTTTCTTTCATATTATTTGTTTCTCTTATCAGTACCATTTATGTATCATTAACATTTGTATTTCTATTACTCTTTTATTCCTACTATTATATTATGTAAAAACAATAGGACTTTTTATTCTCTGCATCTTCGTTTATTCACTACACATCACATTTTTTAAAACGTTGCTTACGTCACCCCTTAGAGTATTGAATACTCTTCCTCTTTGTTACCATTGTGTAGTTCATTACTTGTTCAAGAAAGGCCACAGGCCGAAACATTTTGTGCACGTTTTTCTGCTTCCCGGTTTCGTTAAGATTTTTAGTCACATTTCACTGGAATAACTTTTAGATCAGTGTTGACTCATTGGGCCAGTATTCCTTTCCTAATGGGCTGTACAAGGGACATTCTTGCAGAACATGTTTTGTAGTTTGCACACACAGCTGTCAAGGGCACAGTGGTGAACTACTTAGACAAAGCCTCTGCATATGCTTGTTAAGTTTGTTATGTTCTGTCCTGATGCGTAGAAAAATGTTCTGCACCTGCCGGTCAAGTAAGTGGTAGTCATCTCTGGTCAGACTCTTTTTACTTCTGATAGACGGGATGGCCCTGCTGTATGTATGATTACACTTATTTACTAAGTAGCTCCTCTTCTACTTTGGGGTGTAGAAGTTGTCTTCCCGATGGACCTTGGGTCGCCCTGGAGATCTGGTTCCCTGGTTCTTAGCCTCCCATGCCTGCCATTGTGGCCAATTTTCTCCCTTTCTGCATACATGTCCAGACCATCGTAACTGACTAATCCACTCGAGTTTCTAAGGCATGGGTTTCAAGATCTTAACGTATTGTCTGATTGCAAACTTGTCCCTTCTTGTCACTTGGACCACCTTTCTCAGATATCTCATTTCTGAGGCCTGAATTTGGCTTCTGTGAGCTGTTATCATTGCCCGTGACTCACACCCATAGGTCAGGACTGGCATGTAGGAAGCATGGTAAACAGCTATTCTCGTCCTCATGCCAATTTCTCTTTTGCTGAGAAACCCTCTGTTTATGGTTGGAAAAGTCTCACAGCAGCTGCTTTTCATGTAGCCAGCTCGGTCTTAATGCCTCCATTTCCGTCTAATACAACTCCAAGGTATTTGAACTGGTTGACCTGCTGCAATTCATACTGTCCCATCATGATCTTGTGTTTCTTCTCCTCTCTTGAGATCACCATGGTTTTAGTTTTAGAGATACTGATGGTCATCCCTCTCTTCTCAAGCTCTTCCTTCCAGACCAATAGTGCCTCTGATTTAGCTATCCGGATCACATCGTCTGCAAATATCAGCTCTGATATCAAGATTGGTCTTATCTTCCATACCCTACCGAGTACTTTGTCTTCTCCTTGCAGGTATTGATGACATCTTCCATCATGAGAGTGAAGAGGTAAGGTGAGAGAATATCACCTTGCCTACACAGCTAGTGGTCTTAAATTCTTCTGACTTTTGGTTTGCTGTTGTTACATAATTTCTGCAGCTTTTGTAGAAACTGTATTGTGCACTGATCAGGGGTGCTGGAATATTTTTCCCTGCCAAGCAGTTTCAGAACTTGTCCCATGGAACCTTATCATTGTAGTTTCCTGACAGTAATAGGAGAGTTGTATCGTGGAAGAGATTGGGGTTTCACTTTTTAATATTTCCATAGACAACAGTAACAGTGGGTTACTGTTGTCAACCTTCATTGTGGAGACTGGACACAGTTTTTTTTTTTTAATTTTAAAAATCATTCTAGTTATCTTTTTTCTTTTTAATGCTGATAAACAGCCGTCTTTAAACATGAGATTTTCTGTTTGAATTAATAATACTGCATTATATCTGTGAGCAGTTGACTTAATTAAAGGTTAAGATAAGTTTTTTTTTTTAAATTGCAGATGAATTGTGCATCACCAGCAAATTATGTGAGTAAATTGTTTTGTGTTCTGCTAGTTACTAAAACTTTTTAAATATATTTTTTAAAGATTTGTGTATTACAGTTTATTAAAAACTATGGAAGTTTACTGATTTATGCCATGCGTTCACCTGGTATTGTAGTACAGTGATTTTGCGTCTTCAAAAATATCACTCATTTGTGTGTGTGTGTGTGTCTTAGTTGACAGTAGAGCCATGTAGTCATTTGAAAATAAAAAATAAAAAAACATTTACCATTTGGCACATTGTGTTGTTTATAATTTATAGCTAGGCTGCAATATTCAAGCCTTTAATGAAATTTAACAAAACTCTTAATATGCTTTATTAGGTACAGTGAATTTTCCCCCAACACCACCACACATTTTTTCCCCCTCTCCTAAATAAAGCAGAATTCTGGACATGTAGGATAAATCAATCAATCAGGTGCCGTCTCCACAATGAAGGTTGGCTGCAATGGATGTCCAACAAGCCCTGTCTCTTGCCACTCATACTGCTGTTCATCCATCTCTTGATGTTATCCTCCCACTTGTAACGCTGTCTGCCTCTTGCTCGCCCACCTTGAACCTTTCCCTCCAGGATGATCTTTACAATACTGTTATGTCTTTTAATGTGACCAAAATATTTCACTTGTCTCTTTTTTATTTCACCTAGCAACTCTCTTTTCATTCCAAATTTCCTCAGTACCTCTGTATTTGATAGCTTTTGTTTCCATGAAATACGACATAATCTTCTGTATATCTACATCTCCAAAGAATTGATACGATTTTCCACTAGTTTGTTCATTGTCCATGTCTCTGTGCCATACAGTAAGGTTGAGAATACAAACATTTGACAATTCTCATTTTTAATGTATTGCTTATTTCTCTTGATGTCAGTAACTTTTGCATGTTTGAAAATGTTTTTGGCCATCTCTATTCTTTTCTTGACTTCTGTTTCACTTCTGCCGTCACATGTTATTACTTGTCCAAGATATAAGAAATTTTTAACTTGTTCCAATTTCACCCCGTTCACTGTGATATTCATTGTTAGCTGATTATTTTCACTCCATGGAAAAAGACTGACCTTCTATACTACAGTGGATCGTAAATATGACTGCTGGCAGATGACGTGAGGGTTTGATCTATTCAACTTTGAATCGGTTGAAGTTGGGAGCTTGTTCAGCCTGGTACAGTACTTGGCTTCAGGGTGCACCAGTTCTCAAAGGTGATGAGTGCAAATTCATGCAGACTATCATGGCAGTAAAGTCCTGGGAAATAAAGGCGGCCGGCATGATGCTGACCACATCACCCCCAAGTGCTGATGGGTCTTTGAAATGTAGGTCTAGCCTGCTGTGCAAAATATGCCTGAAGACATGAAAAGGGATCTTTGACTTGTCTCCCCCACGCCCCTTTTTTTTTTTTGTTCTTTTTTTTTTGGTAGTTAGCATCCATTGGATATTTTCTACAGGTCATACCGGTGTGTTGGGAAATGAGCAGGCAGATGGACTGCTGGCTGGTTCTGCACCTCTTGGTGGTGAACTGATGTGTCACAAGCTGGGTGTGAGAGCCCTTTGAGAGCGAGTGAACAGTGCCGAGGCACAGATAGATCATTATGGTCTGAAGAGAATGGCGCTGCCACTAGGGGATCTGGCTGACGCTCGACACTCAGGGGAAAGGGGAGACGGATATACAATCAGACAGTTACTGGTACCATCGGAATTTTAACTCTTGCTGCTGAAGATGGGAGAGGAGCGCTTATGGCGGTGTCCCAGGTGCTGTGATGTCGATTCTTAATTCAACATTTTTGTTTTTAATGGCAGTTAACTTTCCCTCTTGAGTGTAATCACAATAACTACATCATAGAACAGATATGTCATACTTAAGGTCCCCTGAGGGTTATATGGGTCATATTTGTGTTGTCACACGAGACAACTAATTGAAATCCCTTTATAAAAGCTATGGGAGAATATTTTTTTACTTTAACTTAGAAACGTACAATATGCATACAAATTTTTTAGTGGCTAGCCACATTCGTGGATGCAAATTATTGAAAAGAACAATATTTAAATGGCAACATGCGTTAATGTATTCTTTGTACAGGCTGCAGGTATCCTTGCAAAGAGCCACATTTCTGACATGCCTGCCATAGATGGTTTCTGTATAAACAACCATTAACGTTTTTAATGCTTTTTTCCTGCAGGATTATGTGCCACAGGGCCCCCCACAATCAGGAGGGCCTCCAGGCACACCAATTATGCCTAGTCCACAAGGTGAGATGCGAAGAACTCCAACCTCATACAGCCCTGTTATACACGGTAAATATGACATTATTAAATACTTATTGTTTCTAGTGTTCCTGTAGGAACATATGAATGTGAGTCTCGGACTATCTCCCAGTCCTTAAGAAAGAGAATAGGGGCTTTTGAGCTGAAATGCTATATAAAGATTCTCAGAATATCTTGGACGAAGAGGAGAAATAATGACATCTTGAAAGAAAGATCTCTAATTAGTCTCCTTGCATGACATGCTTGTTGAGGAGGCAGTGGGTTTATTCTTTTCTAAAACAAGAGGAACCCACATGGGGAATAATAATAATTGTGTTATAATGTTAACAATATTATGTTGTATGTAATGTTAACAATATTATGTTGTCTGTAATGTTAACAATATTATGTTGTATGCTTCCTTGAGTTTGAGGTTTTGAACAACGGATCAACATCATGTCACACGGGTGTAACCCATAAGTGCTCCGTTCTTCTTCTAACTCAGGTCCGAGTCCCAAGAAGCTCAGCACAGTGCACAGGCTCTGTAGCACCGGCTAGGATCCTGAAATACTTTGGGTAGATTTTTAACTCAAAATTGTTCCTGGGCAGCACCATGAGGCTACTCTTTTCGATTTCCAACTGCAAAGGGATTTTTTTAAGTGGGCAACTGAACCCAGCGTCTGATCTCACTGCCCAGAGACCAGGGGGAAGTACTAAAAGTCCCAAGTCCGGGGATTGAACCTGGAACCTCTAGCACTCGAGGCGGACACCATTCCTCGAGACCACGCAGCATCCCCCCCCTCCCCCTCTTGAGTTGAAGAGAGGTGAAGAAATGTCTGGAAAGCCACTGGTAGCAACAGTTACAAGACAAAGACGGTGGCACTGTATTTGGCACATCTGGAGAAGCTAACGGAATCATCATATAGACACTGATAAGAGATACAAATGCATTAAGAAACTCCAAGACAAATGTTGGTGCTTTATTAATATCCTACCCCAAACAGGGGAAATCCACAGGTCACGGGACAGTCTAATATTTCAGGGGGTGGTAGATAGGCTGCATGCATTTGAGGGACCTTCTCTGCACTCTCTCGTTTAACGTAGGTCGGTTGGGGTTAGGGCCAGTTCTGTATCTTTTGGGATCATTAAAAGCATCAGAAAGCCGGGAAACCCAGTCTTACCACCCTCTAAAATTGTGGACTGTCCTGTGACGTCATTTGGGGTAGGATATTAATAAACCACCCAAATGTTAATGTGTGGGGCCAAATGTGTTGGACCGGATTCCATCCACATGGAAAAGATTGTACAGGATAGACAGAATGGATTAATAACAGAGTGTGAGCCCAATATGCCAGTAAATCATCTGAACATGATGTCACAGCTTCAGATATAAGGCCGTACAGCTCGAAGGGGGATTCCTGTTTTTGTGAGGCTGGCGTCGATGGTAACAATTGTTTTCGAGTAGATTTATACACAAATTGAATTACAGTTTAATTAATTTGCAACTTTTGTTATTGAGTGAATTATAATTTTGAAGATAAATATTTTTTAATAGACCATTTATTCATCTTTAACAATTGTTACCACCGACCGGCCACGCCAGCCTCACAAAAACGGGAGCTGTACGGCCTTAAACCTGGAGTTAGTCGTGCTGTCTTGCACGTTTGAATGTGTCGAATTGAAGTGAACACTCTGATCTCAGTTTTAAAACAGATGCAAGTACCAGCTGTGGTCTCTTTGTTTACAGATGCAGGAGGTACAGGTGACCCCATGTATATGCTGAAACAAGGACCTCCAGGGATGACAGGAATGCCAGGGGTGAGTTGCCTGATGCTGTTTTAATATAAAGGTCTTTTTTATCTTGAACAGAAGCTTTTCTTAGATATTCAGGCCTGTATATGGTCTTATTTTGGCACATTGTGTTGTTGTTTACAGTTTGGCTACCTTATCAGCATCTTTCTGTCAACACATTCAGTTTCAGCAAACCTATAATTTGTTGCCCATTACGAAGTATTGGGGGGGGGGGGGTTGAGTATATTAGGTTGTTATTTATGATAATAATTCAGTTTTCTATGCTTTCTTTTAATTATAATTATGCTGTTGTTCTTTTTCTCGCTCTCCTTATTCTTCACTATTTCTTAAAATGCAACTGACAGGGTTCTTTCCGCTCTACATTATTTTAAAATTCTACTTTTCAAATAAAAGACAACAATTTTTATGTTTCTGCTGATAATTTATCTTCTTCTTTCTCTAGTCACATTTTGCCTTTCAGCATCAGGTTTTGAAGAGGTATCAGGCGAAAGCATTGGTATGTGCTATGTAGTTGCTGGTATTTACGGTCACGGATATTCCATCTATCCATCATTTGTGTGGTTGACCTCTGGATATCTGCTTCCACACGTCTGAAGTGCTCGGGCCGCCTGGTGATAGTCTTCACACATTTGACCTGTTGGTCTGACAGTTTTCCTGATATATTCATTTCTGACCGTGTCTTTTCTAGTTAATTTAGAATTTGCTTTTGTTGTTTATTTCCATGTTTGGTACAGATAACACAATGTTCTTATAATCTAAAATATAATAATAAGCCAGTAGGTATTCTTACCAACACTATACTATCAGTGTCAACTTAGACAGTATCTTCAGATGACAAAAGTCAAATAATCATGACAGAAATGAAATTTTTGAATACTGTGCTAGGTCTAACGAGGAAAGATTGAAGAAGGATTATATCGGGAGGAAAGTCAACACAGAACCAATACTGAACTTTATAGGTAGGCAACAAATGAAATTTTTTGGTCATGTAACAAGATTTGCATCAGATAGGGCACCACAGAGAGCATTGTTACGCAGATACAGCAGTAACAGAACAGAAGGTAGACCACACAGAATATGGACCACAGAAATATCGGAGACACTGAAAAGTACTTTATATAAAGGAAACAGAAGGGCCTGTTCTAGAGATCTCTTTCTGCCCTGGTGCTGCAAGGCATTCCACCAGTAGAGAAAAGAAGAACACAGTGTTGGTAAAAATCTATTCATTTATTAATGAATTTTCTCTCTTCATTTATCAATGCATATTTTCATTTCAGTTTCCAATGGGCGGACCAGATGGACCGTTGGGTCCATTAGGACCAGGTGACATGCCACAAGTCATGAATGGTAAATAGCTGATAATTTTTTTCTTGTATTGTATATTATCATCTCTCTCTCTCTGTATGATCATTCTTGTCCTTAATATATATATATATATAATGTTGTCATCCTGCCTGTTTTCTTGAGCTGTCTGAAGATCTTACCGTTATTAGCAATAGGAAATTGAGAATATAACATTTTTATTATTATAGTTTTCACTCTATTGTGTTGATGTTTTAGAGCTTATCATCTTCTTCTGTTAGCTACATCAGTCATGGCTCTACAGATGTTATCCTGCTTGTATCTTTCTTACTGAAGCTACATCAGTCATGACTCTACAGATGTTATCCTGCTTGTATCTTTCTTACTGAAGCTACATCAGTCATGACTCTACAGATGTTATCCTGCTTGTATCTTTCTTACTGAAGCTACATCAGTCATGACTCTACAGATGTTATCCTGCTTGTATCTTTCTTACTGAAGCTACATCAGTCATGACTCTACAGATGTTATCCTGCTTGTATCTTTCTTACTGAAGCTACATCAGTCATGACTCTACAGATGTTATCCTGCTTGTATCTTTCTCACTGAAGCTACATCAGTCATGACTCTACAGATGTTATTCTGCTTGAATCTTTCTTACTGAAGCTACATCAGTCATGACTCTACGTGTGTTATCCTGGTAATGTCTTCCTCAGCGAGACATCACAGTCATAACTCCACAAATGATATCCTCTTATTACTCATTAAAAAATTTGATTTTCTTTCTCTGAAAAGATTGTAATTACTGCAAAAAAAAAAAAAAAACCTGGCCGTACCCAGTGCAAGTTTTTTCAGCGCTAATATAGTAGAAATTTTATGGTGAGTACCATCACATTTTTGTTCCTCTTAAAAAAAAAAAAAAAACCTGTCTACATGTGGACTTGAGGTCCATAACAGACTTCTAACAACTGACTCAAGACTAAATTTTTCAGTTTATAAAAATATTTGTATTGATCTGTTACAGGTGACATGGATGGTCTCAAGAATTCCCCAGCCAATGGACGTGGGACTCCGCGAGATGATATGCCCTCTGTTGTTGGGGGAGACCTGGGCCCCTATGGCCTAGGAGGCTATCAGGACAGTGTGAGTTTGGGTCTTCTTATGTGAAACTTTGCGTTTCCCATCCACCTGCCTGCTCACAACCTGTAGTCCTTCTTCAAACTCCCACATGTCATTCTCCACACAAAAAAAACCTGGCCCTCATCAGATACTGTCGTTGCAGTTACATTATAAATTCAAAAGTCACAGCTCTGCAGTTATTTAGAAGGGGGTGTTACTCTAGTCAACAGTGTGTACCTTTCCCAACATGTTTCATAGCTTGCTAATTGCTTCAGTTGTGTTTTGTTTTAAATGTTAAGCTATCATAAGCATTGAATTGGATTAAGAAAAGAGAACTTTTCTTTGTCACAATGTTTAGACTATATATGGACTTGAAAGACATTTTGTTTAACTCTTCTCTGTACGTTTGAAATACTTGGTTCTGTGTGTAGATAAGTAATGAAAATATTGATGCATCTTTTATTCCTGAATATCTCTTCCTTGCTTTCTTTTCCTGAAAATGAATATTTCACTTCAGAACCGTGTAAATTAAATTAAGTAGAATCCCTGAGGTGAAGATATGTTTTCCTTCTTATGAACTGCTTAAAAGAAGTGAAAGATACTATGAAAGCCAACTCACAAGTTAGGTATGGGATGCTTACGTACTGAGAATAATTTAAATCTTGAATGCAGATTTGTTTCGATTATTAGTAATTTCTGATGACTTACGAACAAAATATTATTTAGCCGAAAGAACTTTCTGTGTCAAACCAAAACTGTTCAGATTCTTGGAATTATTTGGGGGGGGGGATTTTTTATTAAGTTGAAAAATATGAATTTGCAAATTCATTAAGCAATTCTTCATATAATATATGCTGTGGACGGTGCCTGTTAAATTTTGTAAACATTTTAGTGATAACATAGATTTGTTAAGAAGTTTATTTGAAACCTATTTCTGCCACATTTACGGATATCATTTCCTTATTTTTTTTTTCAGTGACCTACAATGATAGAATGCATGTTAAATTCAGATTATTATCAGTTAAACTCAGAAAATGATTATCATTTCCATTTACATAATAATTCTCAGCCTCAATATGTTTTTATAAATATATGTTTTTTTTTAATATTCTGCATTGCAAGTAAATAATTGTTTGCTGTTTATTTGCTACACTCCCACTTCTGCTGCATCCTTGGCATCTAGAAACAACTGTTTATAGTAATGAAAATTATGTAATTTATTATACTGTATCATTATCGTTATTTTCTTTGTGAGTGATTGACTGGAGTCCTGTTTCTTTAGAAGACACAATATTTTTACAGGAAAAGGTGTTTTTAAACTAGGTTAGAGATTGAAATCTGGTGCTGTCAGGTTCATGTTTAGCAGAAGGGTTATCCTTTCGGGTTTTTCCTTTTATTATTTGTTCAATTGCAAAGTGACATTTACCCATAACAAATTTTAAAGGTAATTTTCAAAATAGTATTTACAGATCAAATCACTTTTAATCCCTGATTGATCTCAGGAGTCAAACCGTGTTGAAATAATTAGATCTGATAATCTTACTTGACCTTAAGTTCATGTTGACTGAAAATAACTTTCTAATAATATGATCATAAAAGCAGAAAGTAAGACAAGTTGTTATGCTGTGCGTGAATGTTCCAAACATGTTGTACATTTCTTTTCAACATAAGAAGTTTGAAGATTTGAAATAATTGGCTTAAAAATGTTATTTTTAAAACTGAAGACATGAATATTGTTGAAATATAGTGAGTGTCTTATTTCTTTTGTGGGGCGTGTTAAACCTTGACCACGACTGAAAATATGAAGAAGCAAGAGTCAAGACTGGGTGGCCGACCATGACAAAAGTCTGCTTTCTATGAAAGTGTGTAGCTGATTTTAATGATTGTGTTATCTCAGAAGATATTACCATGTTAGTGATGCTTAAGGAAGTACGAGAAAAATCACTGTAGCGTTTGTAATCATTAACACAGCAGGTGATGGAATACAGTTCTCACATTTGCTCAATTAGATATTAGAATAATTTAATGTAACTGTACATATTATATACATATAACTTATCTCAGATGTGTGAAACAGTGTTTTAATGACTCCGTACATTATGTTGCATTCACATTGTATACTTCATGTGAATGTTCTGTTACATATATCTTATGTCATTTTTACCTGTCTAAACAAAAATAAAACAGATTTACTTTGTCAAATGTCATATGTAGAAATACCCTGTGTTGGAGAAAATGAAAGCTACTAAAGCAGTAAGAGTGAGAAATAAATACATAGATTGTGATTGAAACCATAGAAGATGAATTAAAGTATGATCAAACAACATACACTCTAGATAACCCCCTTCCCCCCAAAAATGAAAAGCTGTAGATACGCCATGTTTGAATTTGCCAGCTCCTTTTGATGCACTATTCGGTCGGCAGAGTTTGAATACCTGGCAATGGGGGGAAACAATTACAGTTGTTTCTTCATGGAGACAGCATCTTTTGAAAGTCCAAGGCATGCTGACCCCTTCAGTTTGCCTATTGCCTAATGAGTCTTCTTATTTTACTTCTTTCATTTATTATCAATGAAAGCCAGTCAGTATAAGTGTATTTATTTCTCTTGTTGCTTATTGCTTTATGCTTTAAGAGTATATCACTTGGAGAACTGAAATTTCAGTTTGAAGCTCTGTAGACCATTGCAAACGGTGTAAACTTGTAAGGTGTGAAAGGGTTATAATCACTCCTGGAAACATCAGATGACAGAAATGATGCAAAACTTCTGCATGATTTTTGCAGGGGGTGGGGGGGGGGGGGCATATATACTGTGCCCCCTCCCCACAATAAGCATGTTGCAAATGGCAACTGATTGGGGATGTTTCTTTCAAAGTCAGACTGCCCCTGCCTGAGAGGTGAGGGGCCAACAGTCTGCATACAGATTAGTCAGATCTGTAAAATGCTTGTGCACACAAAACTCAAGTTTGAAAACAAGACTAAATTCCAGAAATGGTCGAGCAAACAGAAGTTTCCTTCAGAGCTTACGTCTGGTGAATGTGAAGAAGAAAACTTGCTGCCCAGTTTTTCATGTATAGCTGTAACACAACTTATTTGTTGATACAGCTGCTGCTATTGGTAAACTACTGACCGTGAAATTGTCCAGCAGAGCCACAAACAGCAACTTATGGGGCGGGTTTGCAATATCTTTTAAAGGATATGCAACTAAATTTTTAACAGCTGCTGTTATCTTGTTTGCTCTTTCTAGATAACATTTACTCTGTTGTTACATTTTGCAAATTACCCTTTAAAAACATCTTTTTATTTGGTAATAATACCATTTTCGATGCTCTAAAATGTATTTGGTATATATTTCTAGACCCATATTTTACTTCTACTTCCCAGGTCTTTATTACCATTTTAGATGGGTCAAAATGGGTGTAGTTTATTTTTTTTAAATCAGGCTCAGTGCAGATTTGAACCCACAACCTTTGGGCTTGCATGCGGAGCGTCTAGCTGCCACATCATGCCTGCTGCGTGGAAATAATTAAAATTGTGTATTATTTTTAGTTGCCCGCTCTTGTGTTAGTACAGTAAAAAGTGTTTAAAAATAAAATATTTCATATTGAAAATTAGTGTGGCATCACTTTTCCTTTTAAATCTCCACGTCCAATCATTTTATCATAAAATTCAGTTCCTTTGCTTGGTTTAATCAATACTGTGGCTCCGCTACATTCAGATTTGGAATAATTATAAAGGATTTGCTTACCCTAGAATTGGAGCAGACCTGTCTTAACTGCAAGGCAGCTGTTTTTTTGCCTGGTCTCAGCCTGTTAGCCTCTCTAACTTGGGAGACTCTTAATAGCTACAGGATCATTATTATGGGTTACAGGGACATACAAGTACCTCAGCTACAAGTCAAAACATGAAAGAGGGAATCCAAACATTTTAGAGATATTTATTCTGTTTATTTGTTCCGTTCATACATTTATTGCAAATGATTCTGAGTAATAAATTATAATGTCCAAAGTTAAGCTGTGTGTGGTAAATGAGATGTTAAAGAGTTGTTTTTTTTTTTTTCTTCGTTAATGCATAAGTTCACCGCTTGCTTCTTTCCTGCATGCTGCAAAACACAGTTGCTGATTGAGTATATCCACCTTTGCTCTGCCAATTACCCCATAGAGCTTGAAAGCATTCAGCTGCCCCCCTTCCCCCCCCCCCCCCCCCACCTTTTTTTTATTATTTATAAATCAGGCCATAATATCAAAATGTTTGTGCATGAAATGTTTTATCTCTGTTAATATTTTAAACTAATAACAGAATAGGCCACAGTAATTATTTTATAGACTATTTAACACAGAAGAGATCAGAATAACAAGGGTTTACACATTAAAATAACAACTAGGACTAAATGATGAGCTCTAATTGTCTGGAATTTAAGGATAAAGAAAAGAAACCTGCAGTTTAATTACTCACATTCCCCATAGGGGCTGCGTATTCTGGAAGCATGGTGTCCGCCTCGAGTGCTAGAGGTTCCCGTTCAATCCCCAGTAAGGGCTGGGATTTTTTCACGTGGACTTGGACTTCTAGTTATTCTCTGGGTTGTGAGATCACACAGCCATGTTCATTGTTACACACTTAAAAAATCCCTTGGCAGTTTAAAATCGAAAAGAGTAGCCTAATGTCGCTGCCCGGGCAAAATTTGGAGTTAAAAATCTACCCAAATTATTTCAGGATCTTAGCCGGTGCTACAGAGCCTGTACACTATGCTGAGCTTCTTCGGACTCAGACTTGAGTTAGTAGAAGAACGGGGCACTTATGGGTTACTACTCATGGGCCATGATGTTGATCTGTTGTTCAAAACCTCATATTACCCATATGGATTTCTGGACCAAAATATGGAGGAAAAATGAATAGATCACTGTCCCCTAACTAGCATGTCCTAAGAGGGATGTTTCCTTTGAAGTCCAAGTATATTTGTATGAGAGGCAAGGAACCAACAGTCTGCATAGGGATAAGCCAAATCTGTAAAATGGATGTGCATGCAA